TTTAAAAAAAATGGATATTTGATGGCTGCAGTGAGCGGTATGGGCCCAGTTGGGTTCTACTTTATAGTATGCTCTTTTTACCCAATGGGGTTTAGGCCTAAAGTCAGACTTGAGTTCATGTAGAGGCATGTGTCAGCTGTGATAACTATTGGAGAGACTTAGACTAATTAAGATCACTGACAGATCATTTGGGGAGGGGTGAGGCACGGAGGGCAATCGTGGATGCCAGGGACAATGTGGGAGGAGGATGGGTCATAACAGAGGGAGGGGGATGGGGAATCTAGGATGGTAAAACAAAAGGCAAGGTATGCAGGACACAAGAATTGGGAAATTATTTGCTGAGAACATATATGTTGACGTGCTTGATTGAGCCAATGCACAGTGTATTTTGGATGGAAAATTCATTTGTGTGTTGTGATGGGAAAAAAAAATTATAATAAAAAATAAACTATAAAAAAAAAGAGAGAAGAGGATAGAGAAAGATAGCAAGTGAACAATAGAGAGGATGTTAGTGAGAAACAGATATGGTTTATTATCCGTTGATGATGACGTGTATAGTATTCTCAACTGGACTGGTCTGGGAAGTATTTCATGAGGTGAAGTCTTTTAACAAGCAAAATGAGAAATAGTGATCGACTGTTTTAAAAAATTATAATAATAATTATTGGGAAATGCATGGAAAAGACATTGAATGATAAAGCGGGGAGATTGATGTCTCTGTATTGACTGACATGCATGGCATTCCCTTTTGAAAAAGCAATGGAAGTCAATGTAAAGTTATATGTAATCCAATGTAATATAAAGAAGATTTTGATGACTTTGCGTCAGAGAGTGAGAACATTAACATGTGAGAGTGAGAACATTCCCACAGATGGTACATAATCTAGTAAAGTACTCTAAATTATTCCATTAGAAAGGGGTGCTTTTTCCTTCTTCCAGTGTCACTCTCTGGTGAGTATACACGCCATGTGACAATAAACAAACAAACAAAAGGGCTAATTAGTGGTGAGCGTGGTCAACAATGGAGTTGAGCAGTGGACCCTGGCAAATTGAAAAACATACCAGGTCCATGTGCGAAAATGCCCAAAATCCTCACAGGAGAACGGAGAAGGGTTCGCAGCATAGCCAACCCTCCTGGGGGGTAATTTTTCATGTTTCCTGTCTCGCTGTCTAGTATACACACTCTATAGAAAAAAATTTTTTATACTAAAATAAAATGGGAAAAATTAAAAGTAGGAACAAATATAACACAAACACTTTCCATAACATTATAGAAAGAAAATTTCAAACACTTTTGAGAATAATTGAAATTTAGCAAAAGATATTATTTGAAAAATAATAAAAAAAACTATAAAAAAACTAAAGATTTAAAAAAAAATGTGGTCCTCTGATCATGTTTAAAATTATAAAAATTTAAATTTATTTTCTACTTAGATATATAAGTTGAAAGACATTTTCCAAGTTTTCACTTTTGTGTTTTCTTGTGAAGGACACAAATTTGAATACTCATGAAGTCTTATTTATCTATCCTTTAATTTCATTTTTGGATTATTCATTCCTAGTGTCTATAAATGTAGTAATTTTTACATATTGATTTTTTGTGTACTGATATAAACTTTCTTAATAGTTTTACCAGTTCATTTTTTGTGGAATCCTTGGAATTTTCTACATATAGGATCATACCATCTGCCAGTTTGGCCTCTTATTTTTCAGTCTGGAATCTTTTTTTTGTTTGTTAGCTACAGGGTGTATGCACTGTTTGGAAAGATAGAGACGGAGAAACAGCAAAAGAGAAATCAACCCCCACCTCGGGGGATTGCCACACCTCAATCCCTTCTCCTCCATTCTCCTCTTCAAGATCTTTTGCATGCATGCACACGCACTTGGCATTTATTTTTTTTTAAAAGCAATGGATTTTATCTATCTATCTATCTATCTATCTATCTATCTATCTATCTATCTATCTATCTATCTATTATTTAAATTTGGCCAGAGAGAAACACAGAGAGGGAAAGTAAAAAAGCAAGCCACCAATTCCAATCTATCTATCTATCTATCTATTATTTAAATTTGGCCAGAGAGAAACACAGAGAGGGAAAGTAAAAAAGCAAGCCACCAATTCCAGGAATCAAAACCGTGGTCAGAAAGGGAACCAGCAGTTAGCATAATGACTATGTTGCTGGACTCCCACATAGACGACCGCAGTTCACGTCCCAGAACCGGTGGCTTACAACATGCGCGTGTGCATGTGTGCCCAAGATCCTGAGAGGAGAATGGAGAAGGGATTGCGGAATGACCATCCCCCATGGGGGGTGATTTTTTGCTTTCTGGTTCTATGTCTCTGTCTGGCGAGCGCACAAGCCCTATAGCAAAAACCTCTTAAAACAAAACAAAACCTCTCAAAACAAAACAAAAAACCGTGGTCAGTCATAAACCACCATGCCACCTGCTGGTACCCTTGGTGTGAGCTTTTTAAGTCACCGGGTCTGGGACTTGAACTGCATTCAAATACATGGGAGTCCAGCGATAACCATTATGCTATCTGCTAATCCCATGGATTTTTTTCTATTAATTTGCCTGTTGGCCCGGGCTAGGACATTCAGTAAAATATTTAAATGAACTAGAAACAGGATCAGCAGTTGGCATAATGGCTGTGTCACTGGCCTCCCCAGGAGCTTGGCTGTGTCACTGGACTCCCGAGTAGCTGACCACAGTTCGAGTCCTGGACCTGGTGGCTTAAACTCACACTGGGTGCGGGTAGGTGTGTGCCCAAGATCCTGAAAGGAGAATGGAGAAGAAGGGGTGTGATTTCTCGCTTTTGGTCTCTCTGTCTTTCTGGCAAGCACATGTGCCCTATAGCAAAAATCACCCACCCCCCCATGAAAAGAAAAAGAATTAGGAAGAGTGGGTCAGCCGGTGGCATGTTGGTTAAGGTGTTAAGACTCCTACATGGCTGACAATGCTTTGAATCCTGGACCAGGTGGCTTGATTTTCGACTTTGCTCTCTATTTTTCTCTCTCTCTGGTCAAATGAAACAATAACAAAATAAAATAAAATAATTAATAAAAAAAAAGAAGAAGAACTGGTTTGAGTAGACATCTTTGTCTCATTTGAGATTTTAAGCAAAACACTTTTGAATTTTCCCATCAGGTATGTTAGTTGTGTGTGCGTGTGTATGTTTGTTTAAAGAATTATTGATTTTATTTTGTTTTATTTTATTTTATTCATTCATTCATTTTATTTTAATTTGACCAGAGAGAGACACACAGAGAGAGAAAGGGAAAGTGAGAATGCAAGCCACCAGGTCCGGGACTCAAACCGTGGTTGGCCATGTACAGCGCCTTAACCACCATGCCACCTGCTGGTTCCCAGTTGTGTGTTTTTTGAAAGTGCCCTTTTTCAGGGTAATTCCCTTCTCTTACTAGGAAACTGATTGTCATTGTGAAAGAGCTACATTTTGTCAAATGCCTATTCTGCACCTTTAAACATGATCGTGTGGTTTTTGTCCTTTGTCCTATTAATAAAATATATTACACTGAATGATTGAATATGTTGAATTGTGCACTCCTGCTTTTAAATTTTCTGCTTTAAGTTTCTGCTATAGAGTCTATGCCCTCACCTGAGACAGATAAGAAAGGGAAAGTGAGATATCAGCCCCTAGGATGGATAGTCATGTTGTAATCCCGGCTCTTCCATCTCTTTTCTCAGGATTTTGTGAATATATGGCTGGTGTGTTTTCCAACTGCTATGTCTGGGACTCAAGTTGCAATGTCAAGCACATGAGATCTAGCCACCTTACCATGTCACACGCTGACTCCCATCTTCTTATAATTTTATTAACAGAAATAATCAAAACACTAAAACCCTAGAGTTTTAATTCAACTGCCATAATAAAATGATTTTTTTTTTTGAGAGATTTTCACTATAGGGCGCGTGCGCTCGCCAGACAGAGAGAGACATTAGAGACAGAAAGCGAGAAATCACCCCCCAGGGGGGATGGTCACGCCGCAATCCCTTTTCCTCCATTCTCCTCTCGGGATCCTGGGCACGCACGCACACGCGCCCGGCGTGAGTTTTAAGCCACCGGGTCCAGGACGTGAACCGCGGTCGACTACGTGGGAGTCCAGCGACATAGCCATTACACTAACTGCTGGTTCCCTAAAATGATTTTTTTTTAAAGAGAGATTTTTGCTATAGAGCAGGTGTGCTCACAGGAGAGAAAGAAAAGGAAAGAGAGACAGACAGTCACAATCTCTTCTATTCTCTTCTCAGGATTTTGGGCAAGCATGCATACATGCCTGGCCTGAATTTCAAACTGCCAGGACTGAGACTAGAATCTTAGTCAACTATGTGGAAGTCCAAGGGACAGAAAACCATTATACCATCTACTGAACCCAATAGAATTATTTTTAAACAACTATTCGATGATTGTTTTTTTTCCAAAATGAACTTCTTTTTAAAATTATTTATTTAATTTTATTTATTATTATCATCTATTAATTTGACCAGAGAAAGAGAGAAAGGGAAAGTGAGAAAGCAAGGAAGAGGTCCAGGACTTGAATCTCGGTCACACACATGGGAGTCCAGCTCCTCAACTACCACACCATCTGCTAACCCCCTGTATGGTGTACTGTTTGTTTATTTTTTTAAAGAGGGCGATTTTTGCTGTAGGGCACATGCGCTCACTAGGCAGAGAGAACACAAGAAATCACACCTGGGGGGTGGCCACACTGCAATTCCCTTCTCCTTCATTCTTATCTCAGAATTTGGGGCATGCATGCACAATTGTCCAGTGTGAGCTTCAAACTGCACAGTCCCGGACTCAAACTACGATTGACTGTGTGGTAGTGCAGTGACATACCATTACACCATCTGCTTATTCCCAGAATATTTATTTTTAATTTGCTAAATGACATGGGTGCTAGTTAGAAAGATAGGTAACAGAGTGAGTTAGATGCAGAAAGCACCTACAAAGAGGCGTGATCACACTGCTATCCAATCTACATTTTTTTCATCCTGTAAGGATTTGGAGCATGTACACACCCATGCACACAAGTGTAGAGTTTTTTTGTTTGTTTGTTTTGTTTTTTTAAAGAAAGATTTTTACTGGGCCAGCAGGTGGTATTGTAGTTAAGGGTACTGAACTCCCATATGGCAGTCTGAGATTAGAATCCCAGACCAGGTGGCTTGCTTTCTCATTGTCCCTCTCTCTCTTTGTCTCTCATCCTGTCCCTCATCCTGTCCCTCTCTGGTCAAATTAAAATAAATACATAAAGGTAAATAAAATAATTCTTTTTTTGGGGGGGAGAGGTTTTTGCTATAGAGTGTGTGCGTTCGCCAGACAGAAAGACAGAGAGAGAAAGAGAGACAGAAAGCGAGAAATCACCTCCCAGGGGGGATAGCACACCACAATCCCTTCTCCTCCATTCTCCTCTCGGGATCTTGGGCAAGCAAGATCACGCACCCAGTGTGAGTTTTAAGCCACCAGGTCCGGCACATGAACTGTGGTCGACTACATGGGAGTCCAGTGACATAGCCATTACACTAACTGCTGGTCCCAATAAAATAATTCTTAAAAAAAAAAAAAAAAGACAGAGATTTACAGCATATGACGTGTGCGCTTGCTGGGGAGAGAGACAGAGAAAAAGAGAGAAATCACCACCCAGGGGGATGGCCACATCAGAATCCCTTATCCTCCATTCTGTCCTGAGGATTTTGGGCATGCACGTGCAATTGCCCAGGGTGAGTTTTAAACTGACAGGTCAAGTATTTGAATTGTGGTCAACTATATGGGAGTCCAGCAATATAACCTTTATGCCATCTGCTGGTCCTATACCAGAAATGTTTTTTTAAAGAGATTTATTTATTTTTAATGTTTAGTATTATCATTTTTCTTCAGTTTTGAGCATAGACAGAGAGAAAGAGACAGACAGAGAGAAAGAGAGAGAGAGAGAGAAAGCAAGCCGCCAAGGTTAGAACTTGAACAATGGCTGGCCAAGTACGAATCCAGAGCCTCAAGTACCAATGCCACCTCGCGGACCCCCTAGAGTATTTTTTAAGGCCCTAGGGACAGAAATTTGAACCACAAAGTCAGTCATGGGAGAATCCAGGTCCCATAAGCACTAGGCAATGGAACCTGCTAATTACATAAACATTAATTAACACACACACGAAATGTTTACATTTGAGCTTTCTATTTATGACATTAATGTAGACAGTTAAATCACAGTCACAGCACTTTAATAAAATTCTAAAACATACCTGATTTTTGTAAGCATCTGGAGCAAACTGCTTATATATTGGAGCTAATTGTGTAGCCAAATTCTGTAAATTATCTTCAAGGTTTTTTTCCTATAGGAAAAGTTAGTCCATATTAGTTATTTAATAATGACATATAATGAGAGATTAAGGTATGAAACTGAGTCATAGATCATTGTGGATGGATAGCTGATTCATAACTCATACTTACCCTGATAAAACTGCTACCATAGAGAAATAATGCTTTTGTTTTCCTCATCTAAATTATTAGAAATCACTATGTTTTATTAAGCCATTTGAAACGAAAATATTGTTATCCTGGTCTGACCACGCAGCACAGTGGTTACATGCTGTCCTTCGGAAATGGGATCCCACAGTTGAATGTAATTCCACTCTCAGCCCAACAGAACTTGAAAAGAATAAAATCCTAACACGATAGAGAAATAGGACTAAGGCAGGACCCCACCACGCCTCAGGGGGTGCTTTTTCTCCCTGTCTCTCCATGAAGCGCATGCACCCTCTGGCAAAGGAAGGAAGAAAGGAAAACAAAAATTATGTTATCCTTATTGGAAAGGGGTAATGTCCAAAAAAAGCAGGGACCCACTAGGACAAGTTTTTATGAGATGGGACAGCAACAGACATAAGACACATACCATGTATCGGATCCTGTGCTGCGATTCAACTATAATGCATATATGAATACTACGAGATTGGCAGGAAGTATGGCAGTCAAGGGTGCTGGACTCCCACATGGCCAACCGTGGTTCCGTCCCGAGCTGGGCGGCTTTCTTTCTCACTTTCCCTCTCTCTCAGTCTCTTTCCCTCTCACTCTATGCCTCTAGAGTCAAAATAAAATAAATAAATAAAGCTAAATTTTTAAAAATTATTTAAAAAATACTACCAGATTATTATTTTTTTTAAATTAATTTTTTCCCAGAGGGTACATAAAAGCTTGTCAGAGACACAGAAGGAAGGATAAAGACAGAAAGCATCCCTCAGGGTCATGGTCACACTTCAGTGCCTTCATTTCTTCCTCTTTTTGGGAACACATGCACATGTGCCAGGCATGCTTTTCAAGCCTTTGGCTTTGGGACTCAAACCTTCTGGTCATCCCCTGGGATCCAGACACCCTAACTACCAGGCCATTAGCTGGCCCAATGATTTATCTTTTATAAAAGACCAAAGGAAGGATGACTGAGATATTTATTAAATGTCTCAAGATCAATGGCAGTAAGTGAGATAAATAGCAGTGTCAAACCAAAGTTGTCTATTCTACATCACAAGGGGCTTCAAACTGAGGAAGATTTTGTGGAGAATTACCACCATATGACAAATCCGGGTTTCTAGTGATAGAGACAAAAGAGATCCATTCAAAGCAAAACTATTAGAATAGGTCTATTAAAATGTCAGTGAACCAGAGAAGGGAGAATTTGGAAACCAGAAGAGGGTAAGTTTTCTGAAATGACTATATATTTTATGTCAAAGTAGAGACTTGATAAATGAATAGTTACATCTAAAGAAGTGACCTGAAAGAGAATTTAGAGGTGAGATGAGGGAGGGGCAAAGGAAGGTTGAGATTTTTACCCCATGTAAGATTTGGTGTATAGAAATGTCTTAAACACAGACAGAAAACCTTCATATGGATCAGTTTACCTTTGTTACACATCAAGTTATTATTATTATTCTTAAATTACTTAGCTTTATTTATGTATTTATTTAAATTTGACCAGAGAGGGACACATTGAAAGAGAGAGACAGAGACAGAGAGGGAGACAGAGAAAGAGAAGGAAAGTGAGAAAGCAAACCACCAGGTCCGAAAATCAAACCATAGTCTTCCCTGTGAGAGTCCAGCGCCTTTAACCACCATGCCAACTGCTGACCTCCACATCAAATTATTGTAAATATCAAGCAACACAACAACATGGACATAGTTGGTCACTTCTGTAGCATCTTTTGACAAGTCTTGGTAACTATAAAGTATCAGTGAAAATCCTTTTGGTATCCTATTAACTTATGTTACCTTTAATTATATAAGAAATTCATGTACATCCTTCTTCAGCCTATAAGGACATTGTGTTGAGGCACAGTAACTGCCATGGCTTTCGGTCTTTGGCGAAACCTCAGATGTGTGGACTTCTGGCAATATGTTTGCAATTTCATATTGTTAGAGCATTCATTGTACCCCTGAGTGTTGCGGCTTTCTGTAAGTTTGTTGTGGTTGAACAAAGAAAGAAGGCATATGCAGATTTCTACAGAAATTATGATTTCATGAAAGATTTTGAAGAGATGAGGCAGGCCGATATCTCTTAAGAGTACAAAGAGATTTTGGAATGTAAAGAATATCATTTGAAGAACCGGAAGGTGGTAGGTATGGTGGTTAAGGGCACTGGACTCCCCCTGGCCAACCAGTTTAGTCAGGACCTGGTGGCTTGCTTTCTCACTTTCTGTCCCTCTCTCTCTTTTTCACTATGTGCCTCTATGATCAAATTTAAATAAATAAATAAAGTTCAATTACAAAGAAAAAAAAAAAGGGAATGTTATTGGATTTGAGTCATGTTCCGAAACTATGAAAAATGAATACGTGGGGCAAGCAAGTGGTGTGGTGGTCGAGGGTACTAGATTCCCACATAGACAACTGCAATTCGAGGCTTAGACCTGGTGGCTTGCTTTCTCGCTTTTTCTTTCTCTCTGTCTCTGGTCAAATATTTAAAAATAATAACAAATAGAAATAAATCTTTTAAAAAATTATATATAAAGAAAGAATAGTTTCTTGTGAAGCCAGGGAGTGGCATGGAGGTTAAGGCATTGGACATTCCCACATTGAGTCCTGGACTAGTGGCTTGTTTTCTTACCACCCCCCCATGTCTCTGTCTGGTCAAGTTAAAGTAAATGAATAAATAAAACTCAATAAATAATTCAGAAATAAAGAATAGTTTCTTTTTTAAAAATATTAATTTAATATTATTTGTTATTACTGTGAGTGTGTGTGTGTGTGTGTGTGTGAGAGAGAGAGAGAGAGAGAGAGAGAGAGAGAGAGAGACAAAGAAAGCGAGAAAACAAGCCACCAAGTCTGGGACTTGAACCGCAGTCAGCCATGTGGGAGTCCAGCCCAAAATAGTTTCTCTTGATACATACATACTGTGGAGAGTTTAAAAAAAAAAAAAGGTACAACAGATAGTATCCATTTCTAAATTAGTTTGTTCCATTGTGTATTTTTTTTTTCTTTCTTTTTCTTTTTCTTTTTTTTTTTTTTTTTGAGTTTTTGGCCTTAGGGTATGTATACTTGCTGGGGAAAGAGAGACAGAGACAGGAGGAAAGTGAGAAATTACTCCTTGCGGATTGGGGGATGGCCACATCTCAATTCCTTCTCCTCTATTCTCCTTCTGGGATCTTGGGCACACAAGGATATGAATCTGGCCTGATTTTTTGAAGCCAGTGGGACCGGGACTTGAAACATGGTCGACCACGCGGGAGTCAAGGAACGTAACCACTACACCATCTGCTGGTCCCACATCTGTCTACCCCTTACCTATATTATACAGCTTAAAAAATATAGTTAGGGGAGCTGGCAGATAGCCCAGTAGTTAAGGGCATTGGAGTCCCACATGGTCAACTGCAATTCGTGTCCCAGAGCTAGCAGCTTCCTTTCTCACTTTCTCTTTCTCTTTCTTACTCTGTCCATCTCTGGTCAAGTAAAAATAAAGTTAAAATAATTAAAAAAAAAAAAATATATATATATAGTTAGGAAAGTCAGGACACTAGTTGAAAAACACTTTCTAACTTTACTTGAAATTATTGCATTTATTTTGGGGAAATTTTAGAATGATGACTTGAAGATATCTTTTTATTTTATTTTATTTTTAAAAGATTCGTCCGGGACTTGAACCACGGTCAGTGACCTTAACCAACATGCCACCGCCTGGGCACTATGCTGTTAATTTTAATAAAATAGTTCATTACATATTACACAGAGAGCAAGTCATGCACTCATTGTTGATAAAACTTTAGAAATATTTTCTATAAAAAGTTTAGTATTTGACTGGGAATGAATCCATTATAACATGACTTCTTCAGTTATAGCATACAGCATTCCCATTTCACTCCCATTATTAACTCTGAGAAATATAAAAAATACAGAAAGAACAAAAAAAGGACAAGAATCGATATAACGCAAATTAAATTAATCAGTATCTTCATATATTTATGATGTGGAACTATCTTAAGAGAGTTTGGATTGCTTTCTCTGTGACCTGAAATACATTATTAAAAAAATGCAGATAAATGAAATAAAAAGGAGTCTAGTTCAGGTCTGGAGACCTCCCAGGGTATGCCAGGTACACGCTTATTCATAATCTGGGGCTGAAGAACAACCAGCTGGGAAGAGGAGATGCTGTTAGGGAGGGAGGCTTTGTCTCTTTCTTTCACTCCCTCATAGAATAAATACATAATAACAGTTGGAAATAATTAACAGTTGTGTACTGTTACCTAAATATTGTAAAAGTAACATGAAATTTCTGTATATCTTAATGATTTATTAGTTTTTAAAATAAGTATTTTTTTAGATGTTTTTGCTATAGGGCACGTGCGCTAGCCAAACAGAGAGACAGAGAGAAATCACCCCCCCGGGGGGGATGGCCACGCTGTAATACCTTCTCCTCTATTCTCCTCTCTTGGGATCTTGGGCATGCACGCACACGTGCCCGGCATGAGTTTAAGGCCCTGGGTCGGGGACCCAAACCGAGGTCAACTATGTGGTAGTCCAGCCCCGTAGCCATTACACTAATTGCTGGTTCCTTAAAATAAGTATTTACTTAATTTATTATTATTATTTTAACTTTGTTGTAGAGAATCAGAGAGAAACAGAGAGAGAGAGGGAAAGTAATAAAGCAAGCCACCAGGTCCGGGATTCAAACCATAGTCAGCCACGTGGGAATCCAGTGCCACAAATGCCATGCCAACTTATTATCAGATCTTTATCAATTAGTGTTCAGGACTACATCCTTTTGCTCTAGACACTTTGCACTCAATTTCTAAGACCATTGCATCCATCTCTATGGCTGTAATTACGACATAGACCACACCTGCAGCTTCAGATTCATATCATGATAGGCTGGCACCCGCACATCCACACTGAATTCACAATCTGCCCTCTACAAACATGGTCCCATTGTAGTGTGCCCTATGTCAAAAAACAGCACGACCATGTCATTTTAAAGATTACACCAAGCACCGCTCACTCTGTCACAACCATATTCCAAGTCACTATTATCCCTTCCGTGGATTCATCTCATACATAGCTAGCTCTTCTTGCTAAAGTCACTCTTGGTCCACTCCAATTAATAATCAAAAGACATCTAGAGGATTTTCATAAAAGGAAAGTGTAATTATGTCACTTTCTTCCTTGAAACCCTTCAATGATCTCCCAAAATTCTTGACGTAGCTTACAAGGCTGCTGCATGCACCTCACTCTCCCTTGCCTGCTGAGCTTCAGTCACACTGGCCTCCTGACAGTTCCTGGAATGAGCCATGCTTCTTCCTGTATTATAAGCACTATACAAATGTTACTCATTATTAATAGCAACCACAAGCAAAAACTAATCTAGAAATTCTTAACAACACAATAATATTATTGTTATGGTATAAAAACGTAATAGTTCTATCAATATTACTCAGATATTAGTATACTAACAGACACTTCAATCACTTAAGGAAAGAAAACTTAATTGGTTAATTTTAAGGGACAACTAATATCAATCACATTATTGCGTGCTTGCTCTTTGAACATGGTACGTTTCCATTACCCTGTATTTTGAATATTCTTTTAAAGTAGTATAATTTGTCCTAAAAAAGCTAATATACTTCTTGTTAGATGACTTCTGAGATACTTTAGATATTTTATTGCTAATGTTAGTGAAAAATGTTATATCTTTTAATGGTTATTATTGGTAGATATGAAAGTTATTGATTTTAACCAAGATAGCCTTATATATAGCCATCTTGTCCAACTTGATTATCAGTCATATTTAACTCCCTTTGTAACTTATGGAAAGTTTTACCTTTAAAAAATGTTCACAACTAGTTCAAAAGATAGAAATCCTATTTCTAGTAATTATATAAAGGTTAATACACACTTTCTCAAATATATGTTTTCCTGACAACTAGAACAATGTTTCGAGCTATTTTTCATGATACAGTGTGTCATAAAACCAATTTGGTAGGTTAAAACCAGTATAAAATTATATTTATAAAAATAAAATAGCTTTATAAAATGCATTAATGCATCATAAAGATCCTTCAGGAAAACTATATTGATATGAACATTGTTCATATTATAATGTTAGCTTTGTTACATGTAATCAGGCTAAGTATTAGTTTGTATAGTTTTGTTTAAATTATTTACTTATATACATATATGTATAGCAGTCTATAATATAAAATGCTTTACTCTTATTTCATTGATCAGAGATTGAAAAAGAACAATCTTAGAATTAGTTAAGATGTAAGCCCTCTCCTCCCAAACAAATGATGAAGCATTTCATTTCAGAATTTAATTCCTATTGGTGCCCCACCTCCTCCCATTATCTACCCACCCCCAAAGTTGTTAAGAGTATGGAATTATAGGTTCTTATTTTAATTAAAAAGAAAAATGTAGTACTCAACTTATTTAAATTTAACAGTAAATTTGACTAATTTCTTTGCTCACCATGGCCTTGTGTCCCGGACAGACTCGTTCCGGTTTCATATATCTTCTTTCTGGATTACGTCCTTTAGTAATTCTTTCATAGTAGGTCTGTGGGTAGTAAACTTTCTGAGTCTTTGAAATGTTGTCAAATGGATTTTTGCAATTTTGTCTGGGTATATAATTCTAAATTTTCTAACAATGATTCTTTCTGGGATTGGGGGGAACAGGTTAGAGCCAGAGACTATTTGAATTTGGATTTATAGTTGAAAACTACCTAATTTATGTAGAATTTAAAATTATTTACATCTTTATGCTTTATAACTATTTTTAATATTTAATTTTTAGTGTTTAAAATGTTAAAGGAATGTACTTATATATTCATTTCTTAATTCAGAAATTAAAAGGACACTTACATGTAAGGGAGAGCTTGGATCAATTCTAAACCTTCTGGGGCTTGGGCTTCTACCAAATTTGCAGCCATTGAAATACATACTCCATGAACAGCCAAAAGAGAATGAAGCTCCACAAGTCTCTGGATCAATGCCTTGACATGTACAGGTACGACTGTAAGATGGTAATTGCAAAGGAAGTAAATTGGTAATGCAGTACAATACCTCGGACGGAAAATTTCATGTTGATATGACTTTAGACATATCATATAGGGCCTAATGAACCGGTTTTAACATTTATCAATTCTATTAGTTACTGAATCTGATGTAATTTTATACTAACCATAAAAGGCTACCTATACTCAATTATTAATTAAAAATATATGTGGATAAGATTATCAGTTCAATTAAGTGGCGATAAATAATAGAGATCGAAAATACCTACACCCTTGTTTGATCTGAAGGTGTCTGAACTGGGGAAATAAAGGGCTTGGATTTTACATTCTGAGTTAGTTCCCTACAGAGCATGTTGTAACACTTGGAAATTTAGCTCCTTTATGTCTAATGAAGCCGGTATAATTTTCTGAGGCTTAAAAAAAAAAAAAATCACTCTCTTTTTTGTCTGTTTTTTAGGTTTTTGGCACAGAGCATGTATGGTCACCAGACAGAGTCAAGTCAGGGTGCCTGGAATGATTTTTATGCCACTAGGTCCAGGATTCAAACAGAAGGCAGCCATGTGAGAATCCCACACCCTAACCAGCACACTACCTGCTGGATCCCACTGTCATAAGTGCTACAACAGAAAGTGTTTCATTTACTAATTTTTTTTTTTTTTTTTAAAGCAAACTGGTGGCTCCAAGGTCAATGCCTCCATTATTTTTTTTTTTGGAGAGATTTTCGCTATAGGGCGCGTGTGCTCGCCAGACAGACAGAGAGAGACATAGAGACAGAAAGCGAGAAATCACCCCCCAGGGGGGATGGTCACGCCGCAATCCCTTCTCCTCCATTCTCCTCTCGGGATCTTGGGCACGCACGCACACGCGCCCGGCGTGAGTTCTAAGCCACCGGGTCCGGGACACGAACCGCGGTCAACTACGTGGGAGTCCAGCGACATAGCCATTACGCTAACTGCTGGTTCCCTCATTTACTAATTTTGAGACCATGGGTAGTTAAGGCGCTGGACACTCCCACATAGCTGACCACGGTTCAAGTCCTGAACCTGGTGGCTTGTTTTCTTAATCCCCCGCCCCCGGCCAAAATAAAATAAATGAATGAATAAGTAAAATTAAATAAATAATTTTAAATAAATAAATATATATATACATACATAGACAGAAAGCTAGAAAACACCCCCCAGAGATATTGGCTGCAATCCACTCTCCTTTCAGGTCCTTAGGCATGCATGCATATGCCCACAGCATGAGTTTTAAGGAGCTGGATCTGAGACTTTAAATGTAATTGACTACACACGAGCCCAGCAACAGAATTATTACGCCATCTGCTTTTACATCTTTGAGATCTTTCTAAACTATACACTTTAGTAACTATAACAGGGAGCAGAATATCCATACAACAATATGAAATCAAGGAAATGCAGAAGCTGTTCTTGTGGTTCTAAATTTACACAATGCTTAAAATTTGTAAAAGGAGGGCTGGCAGGTAGTATGGTGGTTAAGGGCACTAGACTCCTATGTGGCCAACAGCGGTTTGAATTTTGAACCGGGAGGCTTCCTTTCTCACTTTTTAGCTCTCGCTGCCCCTCACTTTGTTCTTCTATGGCCAAATTTAAATTAATAAATGGAATTTGAAAAATAATAATAATAAATTCTATAATAGGAGGTATACAGTGCTTACATAAGGATCAAAAAAGTCAAGGTAAAGCTAAATGCTCAATCACAGAAATTGAACTTGAGTAACAGTATACAAAAGTTGCTCTTTTCCTTCAAAAATCTCACTGTTATGAAAGACAAACACGGGGAACCAGCAGTTAGCATAAAGGCTATGTCGCTGTACTCCCACATAGTCGATGGTGGTTCGCGTCCCCAACCCGGGGGCTTAAATGTCACGCTGGGCGCGTGTGCGTGCGTGCCCAAGATCCCGAGAGGAGAATGGAGGAGAAGGGATTGCGGCGGGGGGGGATTTCTCGCTTTCTGTCTCTATGTCTCTCTCTGTCTGTCTCGTGAGCGCACGCACGTGCACTATAGCAAAAACCTCTCCCCCCCCAAAAAAAAAACCATGAAAGACAAACACAGATCAAGATAAAAGGATTACAAGAGCAAAAGACAAAATAAAAAACTGGGCCAGCAGATGGCATGGTGGTTAAGGGGCTGGAATCCCACATGGGTGACCATGGTTGGAATCTCAGACCTGGTGGCTTGCTTTTTCACTCCCTCTATCTCCCTTCCTCTCTCTCTGGTGAACACCCGTAACTTGTAGGAAATCTTTAAAAATAGTAATTATAAATAAAATTAAATAAATAATTTTTTTGTGGGGGAAAAGGTTTGCTATAGGGCGTGTGCACAAGCCAGAAACACAGAGACAGAATGCAAGAAATCACCCCCAGGGCGGATGTTCACACTGCAATTCCTTCTCCTCCATTCTCTTCTTGGGATCTTAGGTAGGCATACACAGGGGCCCCGTGAGTTTAAGTCACCGGATCTAGGACTTGGTGGTCAACTACATAGGAGTTCAGTAACATAGCCATTATGCTAACTACTAGTCCCGTAAATAAATAATTTTAAAAAGTAAAATAAACAAAAACTAAAGCCACTATATGCTGGAGGGGAGGACATTACTATAACTATATTATTATTAAATAGACAATATTAGATTCTAGTATCTATGAAAACAAAATGTCCTGATTTCTATCATCTTATAGGGAATATATAAATTAGATTTTTAAATTTTTAAAAATTTTAGACGAAATACATTTTTAAGTATTATATCAGAGAAAAGAACTTAAAGTTTATGTGTGCTTGTATGTATCTCCATATCTGTACTAAGGCAAATATAAACACAATCTTAGGAGTTGTGGGATCCAAGCAATTAAATATAACAGTTCATTAAAGTAATTTTTTAAGAATTATTTTATTTAACTTTATCTATTTTATTATTAATATTTTATTTTATTTGTCCAGAGAGGGGCAGAGTGTGTGAAAGTGAGAGAGGGTTGAAAAGCAACCTGCCAGGTCTGGTACTTGAACCTTGATTGGACATGTGAAAGTCCATTACCCTTAACCACCATGCCACCTGCCATTCCTTCATTTAAGTATTCTTATACTTTTAGTGTAGATATCAAGTTCTAGTAAAATGAAATGTTAAATCTATATTAAGTAAATTAGAATAACATTTAGGGGCCAGCTGGGAGTGTGGTGGTTAAGGTGATGGATTTCCACATGGCTGACCACAGTCAGGTCCAGGCCCAGAGACTTGAAAAACATTCCAGGTGTGTATGCTCAAAATCCTGAGGGAAAATGAAGAAGATATTTGGTCTTGTCATATGCCCCGGGGGAGGGGTGATTTGTACCCCCCCTCAGCAGATGCACATACCCCATGGCAAAATAAAACCAAACAAAATGCTGAAAACAAAACAAAAAAAGGTTGAAATAATTAACAATTGTTTCATGGGGGGCGGGGGGTCTAAATTAGATGGAAAAATAATCCTATTCACAGTAACAAAAATGTGAGTCAAGATAACATTGACACCATTTCTCTGTTAAGGGCAACATTCAATTTGACAAGTATTCATTTGAAAGACTAGCAGAAAAGAGATATGGTACAGATGCCTAGAGATGATGTTACCTTTATATAAACATCTCTTTTGTCTATACTCTGGGATTAAGTAGAGTCAGGTATCAAAGAAGGAAGCAATAAAAGAATATTCTTGAGGAGAAATGCTAAAATGGTCTTAACTATGATGAAACCCGTCTCTAAAGATATGTCCCTTCTTGGACCAGCAGATTGGATTGAAGTTATGGTGTCGGATCCCACATGGACAATAGCATGATGTGAGTCTCAGCTCAAGGAGCTTGAGAAGCACTGCAAGGACATAAGTGTGCACACCCAAAAATCCTGAAAGAAGAATGGAAGAGAAGGGATTGCAGAGTAGCCATGGCCCTGGGAGGTGATTTCTCCCTTTCCCTCTGTCTGCCTCTCTCTAGTGAGCACACACACACCCTATATCAAAACTAAAGAGAGAGAGATAGTCTTTATAGTTATGTAATACCTAAAATCCTGTTCTCCCATACAGCATATTTGATATTTCTCAACAATTTACTATTACATTATGTAACAGAGATCTGGATGACAAAGCAGTACAAAACTGGTAGGATTACTTTTCGTTGAGGGTGCATCTTCGGTCAGTGGGATGACCATTGTATGACTTGAGATTCTCAGTAAGTTCCTTGTACAGCTGGTCTGCCATTGGGAGTGGAATGCCTTCCCACACCATGATGAGCACCACTATGACAGCTGTTGAACAGTGGTGGCCTGCACGCTTTCGGACCAAGCATAGAACCTTTTCTTCTTCGCTGCTTCTTCTTATAACCTGCAAAAGCAGAATGCATTTATCCATGGAAAACAAGTATCCAACATTGAAATACAATGGATATTCCTTAAAAGCTCTATATGAGGGACCAGCAGTTGACATAATGGTTATGTTGCTGGACTCTCATGTAGTCGACTACAGTTCGATTCCTGGACCCGGTAGGTTAAACTCACCTGCCAGCCCCAATCCAGCTTCCTTAACCACTGGGCAATGCAGCTAGCCCAGTCATGATCCAGAGATGTCAAAAACTCTTGAGTGATAAGGGAAGACTTTTAAAATTTTGTGGAAACCTGGTTAAAGTACTATGCTCATCCCAAAATTTTTAAAAAGAATTATTTAATTTAATTATTTTAATTTGACCAGAGATGGAGAGAGAGAGAGAGCACGCGCAAGTGAGAAAGCAAGCTGTCGGGGCCAAGACTCAAACCTCAGTCAGCCATATGGGAGTCAAGCACACTTAACCACAATGCCACCTACCAGCTCCTGTCCCAAATGTTTTGAAACCCCATGAGTAGGTTTCCATTGTAAGTATTTACCATAAACTTGTGGAAAACATCTCATATTGAAACCATTGCTAGTGGTACTAAAGTTTACTTACTTGTTTACTAGGTTTTTGCCATAGGGTGCGTACGCTCATTGGAGAAGATGTAAGGGGGGGAGAAGTGAGAAATCACCACCCTAGGGGAGATGGCCATGTCACAATATCTCCCTCATTCTCCTGTCAGGATATTGGGTATGCATGCATATGTGCCTGGAGGATAGTGAACTGCCAGGTCCAGAATTCTAACCATGGTTCAACATGTGGGAGTCTGATGCCCTAACTACCATGCCATTTGCTGGCCCCTAGTTTTCCTGAGCCCCCCTCCCCCAATAGGTCATGTTCTCTTACGGAGAGATGGATAAAAACAGTGAGAGGAAAAGTGAGAAATCACCACCCCAGGGGATGTCCACACTACAATCCCTTCTTCTCCATTCACCTTCTGGGATTCTGGTGAACACGCATACCCCTTTGGATTGACTTTCAAGCAGCTAGGTCCAGGACTTGAACTGCGGCCAACCATTTGGAAGTCCAGTGATTTAACCATCATGCCACTGCTCGTAGAAGAGAGTTTATTTATTTATTTATTTAATTCTTTTTTTTTGGGGGGGGGATGTTTATTTATTTAGCCTTAGGGAATTTGCACTAGATGGAAGGGATGGGAGAGTGGAGTGGGGAGATTGAGAGAGAAAGCAAGAAATCATGCCGCAGGAAGGATGGCCATACCACAATCCCTTGCCCTCCATTGTTCTCAGGATTTTAGGCACACGCACACATGCATCCAGCATGAATTTCAATCGACTAGGTCTGGGACTCAAACCATGGTCAGCCATGCCAGTGCTTTAACCTGCTCATTCCATTATTAATATTTTTTATTTTGATCATAGAGACAGAAAAGAAAAGTGAGAAAGCAAGCTGCCAAGTCAGAGACAGAATCCCAATCAAGCTTTTAAGAGTGCTGTGCCCTTAATTAACATGCCACCTGCTGGCAGTGAACAACCCTTTTTTCCCCCTAAATAATTATTTCACTTAACTTTATTTATTTATTTAATTTAAAAAAAGTTTTTTTTCTTTTTCAGAGATTTTTTTGCTATAGGGCGCGTGTGTGTTCGCCAGACAGAGAGAGACAGAGAGACAGAAAGCGAGAAATCATCTTCCAGGGGGGATGGCCACTCCGCAATCCATTCTCCTCCATTCTCCTCTCAGGATCTTGGGCACACACGCACACGTGCCCAGTTTGAGTTTTAAGTCTCCGAGTCCAGAACGTGAACCGCGGTCGACTACGTGGGAGTCCAGCGACATAGCCATTTTCACTAACTGCTGGTCCCTTTATTTATTTAAATTTGAAAAAAGAGGTCCAATGAGAGAGAGAGAGAGAGAGAGAGGGAAAGCGAGAAAGCAAGCCCCCGGTCTGGGACTCAAACCGTGGTTGACCATGTGGGAGTCCAGAGCCCTTAGCCACCAAGCCACCAGCTGGCCCCTAAATAATTCTTAAAAAAAAAAAAAAAGAAAGAAAAGAAATTGAGGCATAAAGAGAGAACAAACATGTTCAAAGTATAGCTATAGCCATTCCCATTTCTTCGACTTCACTAGACATTTTATTACATCTTTAAAAAGGTACCTTACTTTTTGACTCAAGACATTGGTATTTCTTTCTCTACTTAGATGAACTATCTTCTGTACATTTTTGGAGTACTGTCTTTGCACACTTGCCTCTTTTTCACACTCAGGGCTCAGCTTAAATGTACTCTCCCCATAGAAGCCTAACTGATAATTCATACATAATGGGGAAACATTAGAAAAATCTGACCAAAAGAGTAACATGAAAAGAACACTGTTACTAATGCAATATAAAATTGGCATTAGTTTATTGAACTAATTGTAATAGACAGGAAAAAAGCATATAGTGTGAAATTTAGAAAGGAGGAGCCAGCAGGTGTGGAGGTTAATGTACTAGATCATACATGGTGACAAGGCTTACTTCGCAATTTCAGTCCAACCGGGTGGCTTAAAAAATCATGCCAGGCACGTATGCATGCATGTTCAAAATTTCAAGAGGTGAAAGGAGGAGAAGGGATTGTGCCAGGTTGTGGCACAGCCATCCCTCCTGGGGGATGATTTCTCACTTCCTCTGTCTCTCTTAGTCTCGGTCTCTCTCTGGGGATCACACATGTCCATATAGCAAAACTTAACAAAAATAAACAGGAAAGGAAGATAGGACTCTTGGCATCAGCAACAGTTCAAAGTATGATTTTTTATTTTAAAATGTTGAGAAAAAGATAAGCATTCAGGAGAAATCATACTTCGACTACCCATAAAAGTGTTCTGTCCAGAAACAGCAGTTAGCATGGTGGCTAAGGGTGCTCGACTATCACACGGCTGACTCTTACATATAAAAAAAAGGTAAACTGCATGAACAGTGTGTTGTGGAATTGAGAAAAGAACTAACACTTCATAGGTACTTTAACAGTGAAAATCAAGTCTACCTAGACATACAAAGACAGGCCCAGTGGGAACCAGCAGTTAGCGTAATGGCTATGTCGCTGGACTCCCACATAGTTGACCGCGGTTCGCGTCCCGGACCTGGTGGCTTAAAACTCACACTGGGCGCGTGGGCGTGCGTGCCCAAGATCCTGAGAGGAGAATGGAGGAGAAGGGATTGCGGCATGACCATCCCCCCTGGGGGGTGATTTCTCGCTTTCTGTCTCTATGTCTCTCTCTGTCTGTCTGGCGAGTGCACGTGCCCTATAGCGAAAACCTCTCAAAAAAAAAAAAAAAAAAAAAAAGGAAAAAAAAAAAAAAAAAAGACAGGCCCGGTGTGTTTTGGAACTGCTGGGGTGTGGGAATACGGATGTGAATGAGAGTTTAGCCTTATGGCATCTGGCTCCCTTAATCAATAGGCAATCAGGCCAACCCAGGTCTTCTATTCAGTTTTGTTATATTTTTTAATTAAGAAATATTTATTTTATTTTATTCATTATTATTCTTTTTTGTTTGCTTTTAAATCTGACCAGAGACATACAGAAGAAACAGAAAGCAAGAAAGCAAGCTGCCAAGCATGGAACTTGAACCACAGTGGGCCACATGGGAGGCCAGCACCTCAACCACTGTGCCATTTGCCAGCCTTCATTCTGTTTAGTTTTTAAGTGGGAAGTTTGAAGTAAGATTATATAGTGGTTAAGGCTCTGGACTCCCAGATAGCCAACTGCGGTTTGAGTCCCAGACTGGGCAGCTTGAAACTTCCACCAGGCACTTGTGCCCAAAATTCCAAGAGGAGAGTGAAAAAGGGATTGTGGTATGTCTATTCGCCCCCCACCCCGCCCCTGGAAGTGATTTATCTCTTTCTGTCTCTGTCTTTCTGACAAGCATACACACCCTACAGCAAACTATCTCTGTTAAAAAATAAAGAGAGAGTGAAGTTTACTATAGCTAATCCATTTAGATGTCCATTTTCGAAGATAATGTATGTTATTATATTATTAAAGAACAAAACAATTATCTCAAACCAGTGTTTCAAAATCTATGTTCAGGGATCAGCAGATATCCTAATGGTTGTTACATTGCTGGACGGCCACATGGCTAACCGCAGTTCGAGTCCTAGACCCAGATGCTTGAAACTCACACGAGGTGTGTGTGCACGTGTATCCAAAATCTGGAGAAGAGAATGAAAGAGAAGTGATTGTGGTATGGGTAGGGGTAGGGATGATTTATCGCCTTCTGTCTCTCAGTCTCTCCAGCAAGCACAAATGCCCTATAGTAAAAACCTCTCTTTAAAAAGAATAATAAAATAAAATAAAAGTATGTTCAGTGGCTGGTAGGACTCTGGGCCAGTTTCTGAAATGACCAGGTTCTAATTCATGTTTGAATTCCTTGTATTCAGTAAGTACTGTTCCTTCACTAATTCACCTTATTTGGAAAGTGTCACTCCCAATAAATTTACAGATTGTAACAAAAGGAAGGCAGATACCTTAACTGAGACTTGATACTACTGCATGAACAGAAAATTCCAAAATAAGTGTTCAAAAAGTTTTAAACACACACAAAAAAACACTATCTCTCATAAAATGAGAGAAAAAGAAATCCAGACTTAAGAAAGCCTTGGGTATGACAGCTCTACTGGTATCAAGAGGGATGTAGGCTCCTAAATTTCTTCTTAGCATCCTATAAATGCCTGTCCTGTCAAATCAATTTGTTACACTAGAAAGCGTTTAGAACGTTGGTCATTAAATCCATGCCCCATAAATAATGAGGAAGGGGCAGCAGTTGGCATAGCAGTTATAATTCTGAACTCCCACATGGCTAACTGTGGTGCTTGACCCAGACCCAGTAGCTTCAAACTCAAGCCAGATATATGTGCATGTGTGCCCAAGACCTGGGGGGAGAAAGGAGGAGAGGGGTTTGGGCCATGGCCATCCTCCCTCAGGGGTGTTTTTTGACTTTACCTCTCACTTTTTCTTCTCTCTCTCTAGTGAGTACACACAACATAAAGCAAAAGCCTCTAAAAAAATGTTATCTAAAAAGAAACAGATACGAAAGAGTCCATACTGGGGCAGTAGGTGGTGTGGTGGTTAAGGCGCTAGATTCCCACATGGCCAATCACAGTACGAGTTCCAGTTTCAGTGACTTGAAAATCTTGCAGCACGTTTGTATGTGCACCCCAAACCCTAAGAAGAGACTGGAGAGGAGATTACAAAATGGCCCTCTCCCCCAGGGGTTGATTTCACACTTCCCTACTTCTATGTCTCTCTATGATAAGTACACACACCATAAAGCAAAAATTAAAACAAAACAAAACAAACAAAAACTCACTGTCACATTTTTCCTTAATCATAGCATCCTACTTTGAGGATCGAAGAGGCAGTGTATGTCAAGTGTAAACACAATGACTGACACAATTCAGATGGCTATTACTGTCACGAATATTGCTGTAATTATTATTATTAGCAAGTTTAGATTGGACTCTTTTTTTAAAAAAAATTATTTATTTTAATAAATTCATTTATTTATTTTTAGTTTGATGAGAGAGACACAGAGAGAGAAAGAGGGAAATGAGAAAGCAAAGCCACCAGGTCTGAGACTTGAACCATGGTCAGCCATGTGGGAGTGTCCAGCACCTTAAACCACCATGCCACGTGCTGGTCCCTAGATTGGACTCTTAAAATAGTCAAGAATTTTTTTCATCAAAATAATTACTTATTTTACTATCATCACCATTCTTTAATTGACCAGACACACACACACACACACACACACACACACACACACACACACACAGAGACAAAGTGAGAAAGCAAGCCACCAGGTCCAGGACTTGAATTGCAGTCAGTCACATGGGAGTGAAGCACCTTAACAACCATGCGACCTGCCAGCCTCTATTGTCAAGAATTCTAAATAAATTGGTTAATATCATTAAAAAACACATTTGGCAATAAATCTAGATTTCAGTTGAGGACTTCTTAAAACAATTAGTCTAGTTCTTACAAATATCGACGTTTTAGAAAAATCAAAGCAGTATGAGAAACAACTTTGAGAGCAAGCTGTAGATTTGATTTTGTTCTCAGTATCATATCATTGTATCAAAGTGGCTTGGGAACCAGCAGTTAGCATAATGGCTATGTCGCTGGACTCCCATGTAGGTGACAGCGATTCGGGTCCCGGACCTGGTGGCTTAAAACTTACGCCTGGCGCATGAGCGTGCGTGCCCAAGATCCCGAGAGGAGAATGGAGAAGGGATTGCGGCGTGACCATCCCCCCTGGGGAGTGATTTCTCGCTTTCCATCTCTGTCTCTCTCGGTCTGTCTGGGGAACGCACGCGCCCTATAGTGAAAATCTCTCAAAAAAAAAAAAAAAGTGGCCTTATAGATGCTAAATTGGAAAGAATGTGAAGATAGAGTAACTTATAAATTAAAATATAATGCAGTGTATATATTTTGGTACTATTTCTTTCTGTAAATTATAAATTCAGGAAACAATGTATAAAACTACACAAGGAAGTGGTAATGTACTTATCTTGGGAGAAGGGACGAAGACCAATGGGTAGCACCAGAAAGGCTTATATCACCTGCTATCATTTTTTTCATATAAATTTTTAAATTTATTTTTATACCATATTTAATCACATATTATCTTTACAGTGTATAACATTTCTTTTGCCAGCATGATCACCATACCCTGTTATCATTTAATAGGAAAGCTTATGACATAACAACATCCACATTAAAACATTCTGCAGGTTTATCCCTACCACCCAAATCTAAAATCTAAGTGAGTATAGACAATTTCCTTGTTATCTCCCTGTGGAGTGCCTATTTTTTTTACCCCACATCTTCAAGGAATAAAAATTATGTTATTTTACGTATGGAATAAATCTACTTTCAAAATGTATAAATAGAAATACTTACCCACTTAGCAACTGGACACCCATGAGAGCTTTTTCCTTCTTTTCCTGTGTATACTACTGTTTCAATTCTAATTGCCTTTCCTTTTTGACCATACCTGGGTATAAAACACAATGGGGAAAATTTTTTAATTAACTGCAAGTTATACTTGAAAAGTTCATCTGTTAACACAATAAAGTATAAAAGCTGCAGATACATAGAGTTTAAAAACCAAACATGCCTCAGAATTTACTTTTGTTAAAAACAGTTTGTGGCAGGTATTTTTGTTTTTAATGTAGCTCTATTTACCTAGACTGAAAAATACCACTTTGGAAATGGCCTGGCTTGAAGAAAATCAAAGGGAGAGCAGAGCTATGTAGTGTAGGCTATAATAGTCTGAACTATGCTGACCATGGCATAGTAACATAAAAGCAAATGTTTCTGAACTTGAACAATAATAATTAGCCTTGTTTTATAAGTGGAGGGTTGAATGCCCAAGAGCTCGCAAGATCAGAAGGGATGCCAGATACCTCTTTCTCTGTGCCCTATGAAACATCCAACTCATGCTCTGAGAATTTTTCATTCACGTCTTTGTGCTCAGAGATAACGTATTTCCACTGAGTCAGGTCCACAGGAAGGAAGGGTCTTAACAGGGAAGCACATTTCCTCACCTATTCTCCATGATTTCCCTGACAGCAGCAACAGTTGGTCCTGCCCCAAGGTGTGTATAATATGGGCCTTTGTCTTTTTGTATAGCTCGATCTGTGGAAGGAATAAGATTATTAAACCCAGAAGTTTTACAGAATTTCATAGGGGCAAGGAGACATTTTTACTACTTTTTTTATTTTTCCTTTCTTCTATTCAGAACCATGGATCTTGGCAAGGTTTTAATAAACGATGATAACCAAAGTCAAAGACAATAGGCCTTGGAATTGTAAGTTCATTTTGTAACATTCCTAACTCTTTCTTCCTCTAAGTGTCAGAGGAGAAAAAAACTTGACGATGTGGGTCATATGGAGTCTCTCACTGCTTTAGGAAATAACTGCATAATTATTGGGGTGTGAAATTAAATGTTACCTGAGAGCAATGTCTTAAAAGCTAGGGCTCAGAATCCTGTTAAAATTGAGCCCAGAAATTCACAATTTATTCATAAATGTCCAACTCACAGCCAATGTACAATATACACTGGTACAGTAACTCTGTACTTAGAATCAAAAAGATAAATTATCTTAACGTATTTTAGTAAGTGATAAGTGAAAATAAATTACAGGATGTTTATATAGCAGAATAAAGATATTAAACAATGATGCTGAGGGGACCAGCAGATAGCATCCCATAAAAAAAAATGATGCTGACAACAAATCTAAAACTATGTGAAGTTAAACAAAAAGGCAAAATTACTGTATTTTCATTGTTACTCTTTAATGTGACCTGAGAGAGCAAAAGTGAGAGTCACCAGGCCTGAGACACTAACCAAGGTTGGCCATGTGAAAGTACAATGCCTTAACTACCATGCCACCTGCTGATTTTTTAGAGAGATTTTTGCTATAGGGCCTGTGCGTTAGCCACACAGACAGAGAGACAGAAAGTGAGAAATCACACACAGCCCCCTTCTCCCCCCCAGAGGGGATGGCCACAGCACAATCCCTTCTCTTCCATTCCCTTCTCGGGATTTTGGGCATGCATACAAAGGCACCAAGGGTGAGTTTCAAGTCTCCAAGTCTGGGACTTGAACTGTGGTCAACTACGTGGGAAGCCAGTCATGTAATCATTACGCCATCTACTGCTCCAACAAAATTACTATGTTTTAAAAAAACCTACATTTTGTAAAAATGGTAATAATATAAAAATAATTACATATTAATTCATATACAAACCATATCAGGGTTTTATCTTCAGATATTAAGACTGAGAAGATGTTCCTATGTCTGTACACTTGTGAATTTTTGTGGGCAGGAATTATGTCGTTCTTTTTTTTTTTTTGGAGAGGTTTTTGCTATAGGGCGTGTGCAATCGCGAGACAGACAAAGACAGACAGGTAGAAAGCAAGAAATCACACCCTAGGAGGGATGGCCATGCCCCAATCCCTTCTCCTCCATTCTCCTCTCGGGATCTTGAGCACGCAAGCACACATACCCGGTGTGAGTTTTAAGCCATCGGGTCCTGGACGCAAACCGCAGTTGACTACGTGGGAGTCCAGCGACATAGCCATGATGCTAACTACTGTTCCCTATGTAGTTCTTTTAAAACATATTTTTAAGTAGGTCTTTTAATATTTTGTCTAATTATAATCAATGGAGAATATCTGCTTTTATACCCGTACCATAACTACAGACAAAAATCATGATTTAATCACTTTCATAGGGCATCAAAGACAATGTAGAGGAGTACTCATCGGTGTTGTGGTGGTTAAGGTGCTGGACTCCCACATGGCTGACAGTGGTTTGATTCCTGGACCTAGTAGCTCATTTTCTCACTTTCTCTCTCTCTGCGTCTCTCTATGGTAAGTGCATGTGCTCTCAGAAAATAAAAAAATCAATA